GGAGGATATCCTTGATGATACTTGAGAAAGAATGGAAGTTCTTGACTTGAATATGTGAGTAATGAAGAAATAATGAAGTAATTCTATCTATATATCGAAGTGATTGCGGCCGAGGAGTTTACGGCCCGAGGTTACGGATGTACACTGAGGGTTCACGATCCGAAGTGGTTTGCAGCTCTCAGGTTTACGGCTCGGAGTTCACGACTGTGAGGAGTTTGCGTCCATGCGAAGGTTCTCGTTTCTTTAAATATATTCACTTCCAAACCTTAATACTCCTATTTAATCTAGGCTTCAACAATTATAACCCAATAAACCATCTATTTTAAGGCTATGGAAGGATTAAGTTTGATCAATGTTGACTTAACGAGAATTAAAAAAAAATTCCGGTTGTCACACTTAAGTCCCGTTATAACTTGGTCTCCAAGTCCTACTTGACTTAGGATTCCAACAATCACCCCCGAATCTCTAAGTCCTTCTAGAGGGTTGTTCAATCCCGATCAAGATCCACAGTTCCTTGAACTTGGTTCGAGCTAGCGGTTTTGGATGAATATCCTCCCTTTATTCTTCATCGGGAATGTATTCCATCTCCACTTGATTGTTTTCAACACAATTATGAATGAAGTGAAACCTCGTGTGAATGTGTTTACTCCTTCTGTGAAAAACAAGATTTTTCGTTAGTTCGATAGCTAACTTGTTATCAACTCTTAAAACCACTTTCTCTTGTACTTTGTTCTTGATTTCTCCGAAAAAATCTTGAAGTCATTTTGCTTGACATGTGGTCATCATGGCTGCCATGAAATCCGCCTCGCAAGATGATAAAGCAACGGTATCTTGCTTTTGCGAATACCATGTTATCGGAGATGACCCGTAGTAGAAAATGTGACCGTTTGTGCTTTTTCCGTCATCCGGGTCAACATTGTGACTACTATCACTATAACCCAAAAGTCTACTTTTCCCATCCTCTCGTACTTGATTCTGTATCCCGTTGTTCCCCGTAAGTACCTCAGGATATGTTTGATTGCTCCGCTATGTGATTCTCGTGGACTTTGCATGCATCAGCTAACAACTCCAACCGCATATGTCATATCGGGTCTTGTTTGCAAGAGATATCTAAGTCATCCTACCACCTTTAGATATTGTGTCGGGTCGATTTCGGGCTCATCTTTAGTCTTTAACAATTTATTTCCTGGTTCCATTGGAATGTGGGTCGGACTACGATCATGTAAACCAACTTCTTTTAGAATGCGTTGATCATATGCTTCTTGGTTTATAGTAATCCTTGATTCCTCTTTCTTAACTTTAATGTCAACGTAATAAGTCAATCTTCCAAGATCCGACATCTCAAAGTTCTTAGACATCTCTAATTTGAACCTCTTGATCATGCTTAAATTTGTACTTGTGACAAATAAATCATCAACATAAATTGCCAAAATCAACAAGTTAGATCCTTCATTTTTCTGGTACACCGATGGTTCTTTCATGTACTTTTGAAATTCCATACTCTTCAAAATCCCGTCAAGCTTCGTGTTCCATGCTCGAGGTGTTTGTCTTAGACCATATAGTGCTTTCGTAAGGCGATATACTTTATGTTTGTTGCCTTTCTTTATATAGCTTTCCGGTTGTGATACGTAAACATTTTCCTTCACTTCTCCATGTAAGTGGTGAAGCTCCCACCTATGAGTAGCAGCCAAGGCTATAAGAAATCACATGGTTTCGATTCGTGCTACTGGAGTAAATACTTCTTGCAAATTAATATCGCGTTTTTGCTTGTAACCTTTAGCAACCAACCTTGCCTTGTATTTATTAATGATGTCGTCTACATTTTCTTTAATCTGAACACCCACTTGAGTGCAATTGGTTTCACCCCCATAGGCTTGTTCACGAGTGTCTAAGTATTATTCTTGTTTATAGAATTGATTTCTACATCCATGGCTTTGACCCACTCTGGTTCTTTCTTTACTTCTTCAACCGATACCAGCTTGTCATTGGTTGTTAGAAGAAGTTATTCGAGATTATCCATATCAAGCTCATAATATTGAAATCGTCTTAGAGGTATTCTTGTTCTCAAGGGCCTTTGGTTTGCAGCTCCTTGTTAAACATTATTATTAACCGGACACCCAAATATACGAACATTTTCTAAATTCGATTTTCTTTTATACAACTTTTCGTATGGAATTGTATCACCAAGGACTCATGTGTAAACATGATTGATTAGAGTTGTAAACCGGTTTACCGCTTCTCCCTATACATAGTTTAGAACATGCATTGCCTTCATTATACTTTGTGTCGTGTTCATAAGTGTTCGGTTTCTTCGTTCCACAATTCTGTTTTGTTGTGGAGAGTATGGAGCGGTAAGGTAGTGTTTGACTCCGTTTTGATCACAAAAAGAATTAAACTCGAGACAAGTAAACTCACCTCCTCGATCACTTCTAAACACCTTCAAAGGCTTTCCAATTTCATTCTCCACCAAAGCTTTGAATTTTTTGTAGTGTGTAAATACCTCACTTTTTTCTTTCATGGGATAAATCCACATAAATCATGAAAAATCATCAATTAGTGTAAAAATATACCGATTTTGACCTTGGTTGTCGGCGTGATCGGACCGCATAAATCACCGTGAACTAGTTCCAATGGTCGTTTTGCTTTATATGTTGTCATAGTCGGGAAAGACTTCCTTGTTTGCTTGCCCACAAAGCAAGACTCACACAATTGATTCTCATGATCAAATTGGAGTAACCCTTTGATTATACCCTTCTTGGACATCTTTTTCATTGACTCAAAATTGATGTGCCCAAGTCTTGCATGCCATCGCCACATATCTTTATTTAGTCTCAAATGAAGGCAAATAAGTGCTCCAATTTGTAAATTTATTTTATAAAAGCGGTTTGGAGTTCTTTGTACTTTCATTAATAAGCAATTATTGACATCGTACATGGTCAAATAGTTGTCTTTCATTCAAATATAACACTCGGATTCGGTTGCTTGTTCGAGACTAATAATATTGTTCTTGAGATCCAGTATGTAATAAATCTCCGTCATCAGCCTTTGTTGACTCCTCTTGCCTTGGAAAAGTATAACGCTTTTTTCCTTTATTTTTACACACGAATTATCTCCAAATTTAACCCTCCCGGTTATGTCGTCATCATATTCGGAGAAAAATGACTGGTTTCGCGTCATATGAATGCTTGCCCGGTTATCCAAATATTACACATCGTTATCTTGTGAGTCGTATCGAGACGGTATCACATTTTCTTCGTTTAAAAACACGGTCTCGTGTAAAAATACGATCTCGACGGTATCGTTATATTCGGTAAAATTACTTTCTTGTAATTTTTTAATTCAGTCTAGGCATTGAGACGCAAAGTGGTCTGATTTATTGCACAAGTAATAAATAATTTTGCACCGGTCTTTCTTTATTTTTCTAGTTCGGGTCATTACTATTGATGGGCTGATTTAATTTTTGATTTTGTTATTGGGCCATTGTTGTTTGACCTTTCCACCATGAGAAGCCCGGTTAGCACTATTTGATCCACCAGACCCATTAAACCCATTCACATTATTAGACCCATTAGGACCCTTCCCTTTCGTTCCCTTCTGTGACTTCCGATTCGTACTTCCACCATGGTCGACGAATAGAACTTTCACTTGACCCTTCCCGCCGATGTCCTCCTACCTAAACTCCTCTTTGTACGCCTTCAATCACCCAACTACATCCTCGAATCCGATAGTTTTTAGGTCTAAAACATGATCCAGCGAAGCCACTATGTGAATGAACTTCTCTCTCGGTAACGATTTAAGAAACTTCTTCACAAGCTTCGTCTCATCAATTACTTCTCCTAGGGCTGCCAATTTTAAGGCTAATCCAGACAATTTTCCCGTAAAATCGTCAATCAATTCCGATTGAGACATCTGCAAGTGGTCGAATTTCGCCATCAAGGTTTGTAACCTAGCTTCCTTCACACAGTTAACAACTACGTGCCTAGCTTTGATTGCATCCCACAACACCTTTGAGGACTTCACATCTTCGATTTGCATAATCAAAGTCTCCAGGATCACCTGATACAACAACCCCATTGACTGGTAATCTTTTTCTTCATTCTTCTCCGTTCCTAGATCGATTACGGTCCATGCCTTCTGAATCCGCAACACCACCTTCATTCTTAGTGCCTATACAATGTAGTTGGTTGAATTAAGCATGGGACATTGCACCGAAGTGGCTCCAATTTCCTTCTCCCTCACCGGAGCATCGCCTAAAGTCCCTTCATCCCCTGTCGTGTCGACCATTATGCTCAACAAGTAAGAAATTCGATCTCAAAGCACTATGTTCTTGGCTCTGATACCAATTCAAGTCAAGAAAGTATAACACAAACAACTAATCAAACTATCTCTTTGATTAAATGAGAAAGTAACTCAAAACTCAATTTGTAAATACAACATGGCTAAAAAAGATGGATATATAGATTCTAATCTACCGACTTGTAATTAGAATTGTATTAGGACTCTTAAAGCTACTTGCTTAAGTCTCGTTATAACTTATTCTCCAAATCCTACTTGACTTAGGATTCCAACAGTTTGGGTCACATCCCAAGGCTAAATCAGTTAAAAAGCCTCTTGGCCATGTTTGGAGGTTCTACCCGAATCATAAATTAATATTATGTTTTTATATCAACACCACCGGGTTTCTTGATTATTACATTACATATGGATATTTTATTCTTAGTAAATTGAATAATATATATACACCATATTTCTAAATTCAGTAATATAAAAGATATCGTAATTTTCATATAGTATTATAGTATTATTGGTTCCCTTGTGATGTAGTCACATGTTTAAGTCGAATAAAATGGAGAGTTGGACATAATCATATAAATATCATAAATTAATATTATGTATCTGATCAATTAATTTAATAAGTACATTGATATATATAGAAAAAAGAATTTTAAACAAAAATGAATTACGTAATATCACATTCTATCTGAGGTAACCATCAATCACTAGATGTAGTAAAAGAAAGCTAAAGCTATGGCCAAGAAAGTGAAGGGTACCACAGTGGTGAAAGATGGAGCAGAACTGGGTGATGGTGGTGGCAGAATGGTGGTATCTGTGGGAGAAGGGGCGTTACTGCCGGAGGGAGATTGGCCGAAGGTGGGTGGTGATATTGGGCTAGCTTCGTCGGAAGAAGGGGCAGGGGAGGAGGTTGGTGGTGAGGTTGTAGTGGAGGGAGCAGGGGTTGGGGTTGGGGTTGGGGTGGCGGTTGGTGGAGAAACCGGTGTGGGGATGACAGGTGCCGGTGTTGGTGATGGAGCAGGGGTGGCAGACGCGGCGGAGACGTTGATGGTTAACTTCTGACCAATTTGGCAATGAGTGCCAACGGTGCAGATGTAATAGTGAGTGCCAGGTGCGTTCAAGGTGACTCTAGCGGGACCGGTGGTGGCAATGGAGATGGGGTTGGCGGTGGTGCATGGTGCGTACGCCGCCTGAGCTACTTCAGCAACATTATGGAATCCGGTGGTGAAGTTAAAGAGAAGAACATCGCCGACTCTGAAGGTCTGACCTGATGCCCAGGTTGTGTAAGCAGAAGGTCCGTTGGGAGGAATATTCCAACCCAAGGCGTCGCCGACCACATGGGTAGTCTGAGCCACCGTGTCGTGAAACTGTACAGATGCAAGCATGAGCGCCATAATCACCACCAAATTGAACTTTAAACCTGACATTTTCTGTCCTTTAACTTCTTGTAAAGAGAAATCTCAGATGATTATTTGAATTCTTGAAAGGTTTGAAGGATGATGTTGATTCGAGAAGTTGGCTGTGTTTAAGTTTTAATTTATAGGGAAACAAGGCATGTGGAGTCAATACAACCAAAAGAAGTCAAATAGTTTTTGATTCACGCGGATAATTAACTTTGGTTGGTTTCTCTTTTGAGTTGTTCCAACTTTTTTCCCACTATGTTATGATCTGTTCCAAGATAATATATTTGTTGCTACCTTTTTCATATATTTCTACACTATATATATATATATATATATATATATATATATATATATATATATATATATATATATATATATATATATATATATATATATATATACACATATATATATATATATATACATATATATATATATATATATATATATATATATATATATATACACATATATATATATATATATATATATGTGTATATATATATATATATATATATATATATATATATATTAGTGTTTGTTATTTTTATAGTGTGTAAGTTTTAGTAATCGGAATCTCCTGAGTATAATCAATAAGAACTTGGGTGTGAATGTGTGATGATTTGTCACGTTAATAAGTGTTCAAATTAAAATAATATATTGTTTGACTTCTTGACATCATGACTAATTCAATATTAACTTTTAAATAGATTTTTTTTTTGTTGAAATATAGACGTGTTTTTACAAATTGACGGAGAAAATGGATAGAATCCAATGGAAGCTTCCAGCAGTCAAAATGAGCTATATTTGATTCAACGTCCCAATTCCTTACGAGTTACTACTAGTGACATATCACGTACGTATGGCATGTTTTATCAATTTATTTATAAATCCACTGATTTCTTTTTTTTTTTTTTTTTTTGGAAAGGGAATTTCCCTAACGAGGGTTTCCGGGCCAGCTTTCGCGCACCGACTAATCCCCGCTGCAAACATAAAGCTTTGCCTCATGCCCTGGAGTCACTGCAGACGAACCTCCATGGCCACAAGGGCTGAGTGGTGCCAGGATTTGAACATGGGTCAATAGGTTATCCACCATATCTTCCACATGCCTTACCAAATCACCACAACCCAAGTGGTTAAATCCACTGATTTCTCTTATACAGGTCTTGGTGATAGCAAACTAATGTAAAATCTTAAAATACTAATTTTTTATTTAATTTCGTTTTTATTTAGTAAATAATATTATTTTAAATTTAAAAATTATTGTTTTTATCAAAATTTAATATATATATATATACACACACACACACACACACACACACACACGATTAACACAGTTTGAAAGATGGATAAATGTAAAGATGTTATGTTGACGTGTCAACTCAGGGTATGTATGGGGCGGTTTGGTTCGGTTATTGATCAAAATCGAACCATAACCATTATGATTGGTTAATGTATTTTGATAGCCATTGAGTATGGTTAATATTGGTTATGGTTAATGGTTTTTGTCGGTTAACGGTTTTGGTTAATGGTTAATATTGGTTAACCATAATCTTCAGAATAATATAAACAGTGAAAGTATATTGGCATAAAAATAAAAAGAGAATACAAAAAGTCATCGGCACTAATGTTTGTAACCTAGCTTATGGTAATAGAATGAAATGTGTACCTTTGATACTCAGAGTGATATAACCCATAATCACATTCAAAACAAAAAAAAACATTCAATAAAAAGTATAAAAAATTAAAAGAATTGACACTAATAACTTCATATATTGATAATTGATATTAACATTAAAATAAAGTCAAAAATTCATACATGTTAAATGCAATTAAATAAAAAACTATAAAATAAAATAGCTAAACATTTATATTACGTGTTATCTGGATAAAAAATAAAACAATCACTCATATACATTCAATATGATTAAGTCAAAAACAGAAAATAAAAAAGCAATTTTTTTTTAGAAAAAATACATTCTTAATATATCATAAAGTGAAGAAGAACTAAAAACATAACTTACCTAGAAGTTTTGATTATAAATAAAAAAAAACCTTCGAATAAAGCTATAAAGTCAAAACAATCTTTTATTAGGATTAACGGTGTGAGAAGCCTCCGATTAGGATTATGAGTGTGAAGATTAAACTAATTGTGAATAATGTTTACAAATTATAGAATTAGCCGATTAGGAATTACAACATTAATCAATAATCTAACTCAATGCATGATTGGAAAATTGTATGTGTCTGCATGATCTACGTGATCATCCTTTGATAGTTTGATTACACATTCCTCTCCTGATAAGTGAGGATTACTGAATTATTTATGGAAATTTAATGGGTCTTAAATAAGTTTGACTATATTATTTTATATATAATACATACTTTTTATGCATTAGAATATAAAGTTAACGGTTCGGTTAATAATGGTTCGGTTAACCTATAAAACCATAACCGAACCGTTTCTTATCGGTTAACAAAAATTAGAAACCGAACCAACGGTTTTTAAAATGGTTCGGTTATATCGGTTAATTTGGTTATGGTTCGGTTTTTTGGTTATTATGCTCACCCCTATGTCAACAAAATAATGAAAGATATATGATGAAAACAACGTATGGTCTTAGACCAATGGGAGTACATGACACCTAACACTACGGTGTCTTACCTAGCACTGTGGTGGTATGGTAAACACCACACCGACCAAGTGTGGTAGGTTGGTTGTAGGATTGGTTACAATGAAGTTCTACCATACGGGAAATACAAACATACTACTCAAATGTAGTATTTTGTGCATAAAAATGTATATTGTGTTGGGTTAGTGGGTGTAGACGTGTAGTATGACACCTATTAGTTTTATAAGATGAGGGAATATGACATGACAAACTAAAATTGTGGTAAGATGTGATTCCACAAACCTTTGGGTAACTTTTCCAATGAGTATGCTCCATATACATGGAAACTTTTCACCGAATATGCTCCTTATACCCTGAAATCTCTATGGTGGTGGCAGGACCGGTCCTGACGATGGGCAACCCGGGCGATCGCCCAGGGCCCACGACTCTTAGGGGCCCAAAATTTTATGATATATATATATATATATATATATATATATATATATATATATATATATATATATATATAAATTGATGTATATGTCTTCTAAGGGCCCCATTACCAAATTAACCGAACATTAGGCCAATGAAATAACCTCTTTTATCCAGACTCTGAAACGCGTTTTGAAGTAACGTTAAGCAAATACTGCTGTTTAAGGTGTCTTTCAAGAATCTACATCTGGTGGGAACCAATTAATCAAATCGACACCTCGTGAATCCTAATCAAAATAATTATTCATAATCAATTATGTCGCACGATTTCCTCCCTTCTCGTAGCCTCTTACCAGCCTTCAGATTATAAACAGTTATGTCGAGTGAATGCAAATTTGCAAAGCACCCGACGAATGAGATAAAAACCATAAGGTTGGCCATAAACTTTTTTTGTTTGTTTTTTTTTCTTTGATTCTTTTGTTTTTCAACTAGTATTAATTTCTGATTTGATTTCTTATTCATGTTTCTTATATTTTATTATTATTTATTTAATTTTTTTATTTTGTTTGTGCATCTGTATCTTAGATTGCTGGAAACTGGACTGTCAATTATTTCTAGCTTTTACCTACGTTTCATTTTTTTTACTTAACAATGTAACTTTTTTGTAGATATATGATTCAAAACTCAAAAATTTAAATCCAATTTTAATTTTTCTGATGTTTTAGTGTTGTTTTTTATTTTATTTTGTATTCACGTTCCTAGTCCTAGTATCTAATCAAATACTGAAAGGTTATATATTTTTTTTTCCTGGTTTTGGATGTTCTCAGATTTCTCTAGACTTGTCTTTATATATTATACCTACATTTTAGATTTTTTACTTAAGAACGTAATATTTTTTGTTGATATTTAATTCATAATTCAAAACTCTAAACCCAGTTCTAATTTTCAAATGTTTGATTGTTTATTTTTTATTTTAATTTACAGTTGCACCTTAATTTAAATTGAATATGATATTAGGCTTCTATAACTTTGAGACATAAATCATATACCAAAAATCAGATTTAATATTTTCCTATAAATAGATAGTGTTTAACTATTTACAATCTACAATGTTTTCCAAAAAATATTTATCAGGTAGCCAGAAAAGGAAGAAACAAATTTTTTTTTCGATGCCTTCAATCAAACTTATAAAGGATCTATGTATAGTTTTTTCAAACCATTGAGTTTGTCTAGTTTGAATAAAGGAAAACTAATTTGAATTAAAATGATACTAATTTCTCTTTTAGATAATGTTGTGGTCATATTATGTTATGGACTTTATAACGATGTGTTTATTTTTAAATTAAATTAAATTATTCTTCTAGAGGCTCATTTTTTGTTCGCCCTGGGCCCGCAAGACGTTTGGACCGGCCCTGGGTGGTGGTCATGATCGGAAATTATGGTGAGATGATGCCATACATGAGTAATTTTATATGAACTTTGCTGCTAATTATGTAAAATTAATATCTTTATACTTAAGGTTATTTAGAGTTTTTAGAATAAACACATGCCTTCTCTTGAGTATGTGATGTATATATTTATCTATGCCATGCTAAGCGATAAGGATTACCACTAATTTTTTTAAGTACTACAAAAAAAAAAAAAAAAAAAAAAAAAGTTGGTTACGATGATCTTATATTTCTATCTAGTATACCCCTTAGTCATAGCAATAGGATCTCAATGCTTAAATTGTCGTGAAATTCCTTTACCAGCGATGTCATTGAGTTGGTATCAATAAGGAAAGTGTAAGACTTGTAGTTGGAAAGTGGTTGTCTGTGTACCATTGATTTTCGGTCAGCTAAAAACTTGTTAGAAAAGATTGACAAAGGTTATTAGGGTAAATGAATTATATTGTGTGTGGTGTGTAGATGATGGAGATAGTCAACTTTAAGATTAGTCATATATAGGAGGATGTCGATGGCCAAGAAAACTAATAGTTGA